CAATGGGACAATACTTCAAGAAGAAATAGCACTCATTAACATATATTCACCAAACGAAGGAGCACCAAAATATATCAGAAAACTATTATCATCTTTGAAAACAGACATCAGAGAAAACACATACGTAGTAGGAGACTTCAACACACCACTATCAACAATGGATAGATCAATGAGACAAAAAATAAGCAAAGACACTAAAGCTCTAAATAAGGATCTAGAGCGCTTGGTCTTAACAGACATCTATAGAACACTAAACCCAAAAAAATCTGAGTACACATTTTTCTCAAGCGCACACAGATCATTCTCCAGGATCGATCACATACTGGGACCCAAGACAAACATCAACAGATACACCAAGATTGAAATCATACCAACCATCTTTTCTGACCATGAAGGCATCAAACTAGAAATAAACCATACAAAGAAGGCAAGGAAATCACCTACCTCATGGAGATTGAAACCCACACTATTGGAAGACCACTGGACTAATGAAGAGATCAAAGAATAAATTAAAAAATTCTTTGAATTGAATGACAAGGAGGACACCAATTTCCTAAATGTATGGTATGCAGCAAAAGCAGTAATAGGAGGAAAATATATAGCAATAGAGGCTCACATCAAGAAACAAGAAATAACTCAAAAGAAACAACCTAATCTCGAAGCTCAGAGATCTAGAAAAAGAACAACAAAAAAACCCAAAACCAGCAGAAGAAAAGAAGTAATAAAACCAAAGCAGAAATAAATGAAATTGAAACTAAAAAAACAATCCAAAAGATCAATGAAACCAAGAGCTGTTCTTCGAAAAAATCAATAAAATAGACAAACCCCTAGCCAGGCTCACAAGGAAAAAAGGTGAAAGCACAAATAAACAGGATAACAAATGAAAGAGGAGAAATCACAACGGACACAGCAGAAATCGAAAGAACAATCAGAAACTACTATGAACAGTTATATGGAAACAAGTTCAACAATCTAGAGGAGATGGTCAAATTCCTACAACTCTACAATCACCCAAAGCTAGATAAAGAAGAAATAGAACACCTAAACAGTCAAATTACAAGCAGTGAAATTGAAATGGTAATGAAAAACCTCCCCAAAAACAAAAGCCCAGGACCTGATGGATTTACAAATGAATTCTACCAAACGTTCAGAAACGAATTAGTGCCTATCCTTCACAATCTCTTCCAAAAAATTGAGAAGGAAGGGATAATACCAAACACGTTCCATGAAGCCAACATTACACTTATACCAAAACCGAACAAGGACAACACAAAAAAAGAAAACTACAGGCCAATCTCCCTAATGAACACTGATGCAAAAATCCTCAATAAAAGTTTAGCTATCAGAATCCAACAATGTATCCATAAGATAACTCACCACGACCAAGTAGGATTCATTCCAGGAACACAAAGATGGTTCAACATCCGAAAATCAATCAAAGTTATCCAACACATCAACAAAAAGAAATATAAAAACCATATGATAATATCAATAGATGCCGAGAAAGCTTTCGACAAAGTGCAACACCCATTCATGATAAAAGCCCTTGAAATTCTTGGGATACAAAGAACATACCTCAACATCATAACGGCCACATATGACAAGCCAACAGCCAGTATCATTCTCAATGGGGAAAAGCTGAAAGCATTTCCATTAAGATCTGGAACAAGACAAGGATGTCCACTCTCACCACTGCTTTTCAGTATAATACTAGCCAGAGCAATAAGACAAGAGAAAGACATACAAGGAATCCAAATAGGAAAAGAAGAAGTCAAACTATCACTATTTGCAGATGATATGATAATATACATAGAGAACCCCAGAAACTCCACAGAAAAACTAATTCAACTAATCAGTCAGTTCAGTAAAGTGGCAGGACACAAAATCAACACACGAAAGTCAGTAGCCTTCCTCTACACAAACAATAAATCTGAAGTAGAAGAAATCAAAAAACCCATCACTTTTATTATTGAAACAAAAAAAATCAAATACTTGGGAATAAATCTAGCAGAAGAGGTAAAGGACCATACAAAGAAAACTATAAAATACTGTTAAAAGAAATAGAAGAAGACACAAAGAAATGGAAAGACATCCCCTGCTCATGGATTGGAAGAATAAACATTATTAATATGGCCATCCTACCAAAAGCAATATACAGATTCAATGCTATTCCAATCAAAATTTCAATGTCATTCTTCAAAGAAATAGAACAATTATTGATGAAATTCATATGGAATCACCACAAGCCCCAAATAGCCAAAGGTCTCCTGAAAAAAAAAAAAAGAAGGGAATGGAGGTCATCACACTCCCAGACTTCAAACTATACTACAAAGCCATAATTATCAAAACTGCATGGTATTGGAACAAGAACAGACATACAGACCAATGGAATCGAATAGAAAATCCAGAAATAAACCCACAGATTTATGGTCAACTAATCTTTGACAAAGGAGCAAAGACTATGCATTGGAGCAAAGAAAGTTTGTTCAATAAATGGTGCTGGGAAAACTGGGTCGCTACATGCAAAAGAATGAAGCTTGACCACTACCTCACACCATACACAAAAATCAACTCAAAATGGATTAAAGAACTAGACATAAGACCTGAAACCATAAAATACATAGAAGGAAATATAGGCGAAACACTACGTGATTTGCACATCAAAGACATCTTTACAGACACATCACCCAAAGCAGTGATAGTGAAGGCAAAGATAAACAGCTGGGACTACATCAAATTAAAGAGCTTCTGCACAGCAAAAGAGACAACAACAAAAACAAAGAGAAACCCCACCAACTGGGAACATTTTTGCACACAACACTAATGATAAAGGACTGATCACAAAAATCTGCAAAGAGCTGATGAGACTCAGCAACAACAAAGAAAAGAATCCAGTCAAAATATGGGCAGAAGAACTAAAAAGAAACTTCTCTGAAGAGGAAATGCAAATGGCCAACAGACATATGAAAAAATGTTCAACATCACTTGTAATCAGGGAAATGCAAATCAAAACTACCATGAGATACCATCTCACACCAGTGAGAATGGCACATATTAAAAAAACTAGCAACAACAAATGTTGGCGAGGGTGTGGAGAAAAAGGAACTCTTCTGCACTGTTGGTGGGAGTGCAAACTGGTCCAACCACTATGGAGAGCTGTGTGGAGATTTCTGGACCTACTAAACATAGAGCTTCCATATGATCCAGCAATTCCACTCCTAGGTATTTACCCAAAGGAAACAGAAACATCAATTCCAAAGAACACCTGCACCCCTATGTTTATAGCAGCACTGTTTACAATAGCTAAGCTTTGGAAACAACCCAAATGCCCAAAAATAGATGACTGGATGAAGAAGATGTGGTCCATATATACCATGGAATATTACTCAGCATTCAAAAAAGATAAACACATGCAATTTGCAGCAACATGGATGGCGCTGGAAGGGATCATGCTCAGCGAAATAAGCCAAAAAGAAAAAGAAAAATACCGGATTGTCTCACTCATAGCAGGAATCTAGAAAACTTAAATAAGGGACCAGGAAAATGAATATAAGAAAGTGAAAATCAAAATCAACAAAAAACTATGAACCAGAGACACTTTTTCGGGGGTGGGGCGGCGGGAGGGGAAGGATTGGGGTCAGAATGGGGCGTTTGCAATTGTATGGGGGAATATAAAAATAAAATTTATTATTTAAAAAAAAAATTAAAAAAAAAAGACCTGAATCCATAAAATACATAGAAGGAAATATAGACGAAACACTACATGACATGCACATCAAAGACATCTTTACAGACACATCACCCAAAGCAGTGATAGTGAACGCAAGGATCAACAGCTGGGACTACATCAAATTAAAGAGCTTCTGCACAGCAAAAGAGACAATAACCAAAACAAAGAGAAACTCCACCGACTGGGAGAACATTTTTGCACACAACACTAATGATAAAGGACTGATCACAAAAATCTACAAAGAGCTGATGGGACTCAACAAAAACAAAGAAAATAATCCAGTCAAAAAATGGGCAGAAGAGCTAAAAAGAAACTTCTCTGAAGAGGAAATGCAAATGGCCAGCAGGTATATGAAAAAATGTTCAACATCACTTGTAATCAGGGAAATGCAAATCAAAACTACATGAGATACCATCTTACACCAATGAGAATGACACATATTAAAAAAACTAGGAATAACAAATGTTGGCGAGGGTGTGGAGAAAAAGGAACTCTCCTGCACTGTTGGTGGGAGTGCAAACTGGTCCAACCACTATGGAGAGCTGTGTGGAGATGTTGACCTACTAAAGATAGAGCTTCCATATGATCCAGCATTTCCACTCCTAGGTATTTACCCAAAGGACACAGAAACATCAATTCCAAAGAGCACCTGCACCCCTATGTTTATAGCAGCACTATTTACAAAGCTAAGCTTTGGAAACAACCCAAATGCCCAGAAATAGATGACTGGATGAAGAAGATGTGGTACATATATACCATGGAATATTACTCAGCATTCAAAAAAGATAAACACATGCAATTTGCAGCAACATGGATGGCGCTGGAAGGGATCATGCCCAGCGAAACAAGCCAGAAAGAAAAAGAAAAATACCGGATGGTCTCACTCATAGCAGGAACTTAGAAAACTTAAATAAGGGACCATGAAAAAGAATAAGAAAGAAAATATCAAAATCAACAAACAACTGTGAACCAGAGACACTCTATGGAGGTTGGGGTGCGGGGAAAGGAGGGATTGGGGTCAAAATAAGGGGGTTGTAATTGTATGGGGGATATAAAAATAAATTTTTAGTTAAAAAAAAAAAGTCTCCGTGTAGCCCCACCCAGCGGCCACACTCGCGGCCACCCCCTAACTCCTGGCTGAGCGCGGAAGGTTCTCCTTGTCCCGCCTCTGTCCTTCCCAGCCAATCACACACGTCTTTCCGAGACCTCCGTCCAGATGCGCAGTCTCCGGGGGCGAACGCGTCACTTCCGGATGGCTGCTGGGGCGGATGGGCGCGTTGCCATAGCGACCATTTTACGTTAACTTGTTTGCAGCTTTTGTCCCGGCTACTGGGCGACTTCGGGTGCACCACTTACCCCGTTCGTTCTCGGTTCCTGGGGGGCCGAAAGGCCGCAGCAGGTTCCGGGGGTCTGGCCGAGGGTTCCCGCCGCGCCCCGTGTGGGCGCGATGGCTACGGAGGAAGAGGACGAGGTGGAGTGGGTGGTGGAGAGCATCGCGGGGTTTCTGCGGGGCCCGGACTGGTCCATCCCCATCTTGGACTTTGTGGAGCAGAAATGTGAAGGTAAGAACCAGAGCCCGAGCCGACACCCTTTCTCACACACGCAGCCTACGGGGAGATGGTTACCACACGCCAGATCGCATCTTCTGGGTCTGCACCCCAGTCGACCCGGTTTAGAGCTGCTTTAGAGATGTTTTACTGTCACCCGCGGGTCTTTACTTCACAGAACTAAACTGGGACTGACGTTCCCCTCCCCTTGATCCCAAGGGCACGTCGAAAAAACGTTGGACTTTTATCCTGTGTTGGGTGCCTTTCTCCATCCCTGCACGTTTCTGCGCTGTGTAGGGGTACTGTTTGGCTTCTTCCCCAGTGACTTGAGAGGAGAGGCATCAATTTGCTTCTGAGTTCTTCTGATCCCAACAGTTGACTGCAGAGGGGGCGCGTGATTCCTGCGTGATTACTCCTGCAGGCCCACAGTAGGCTATTCTCTTTTTACTGAGCTCTCTGACTCACGGCTATACCAAAAATGGGGGCACCTTCTAGCAAATTAGTATGTCATTCTAACATATTCTCTGTAAGAGAAGGACACCTCCGGATTCTGATCAGTTTGCGCCTCGAGTTCTGCATTCATTTTTTGGCGATAAATTGGAACCATTCACAGAAAGGGAACTAGGAACCATGTGGTGTGGATAATTGCCTAGCCCTTATCAGGATTGCTTAGCTGGGCAAGACTGAGGGTAGTGATATCCATCAATCGTTTGAACGATCTGTTTTATGTCGGAGGGACTAGAATTATTTTGTAGGGTTAAGTGAGATAGAGTTAGGGTCTGTGGGTACAAGTTACTACGAAACAAATTACTCTGAAGGAAGTGATTCCTAACAGAATGTATTCGAGATGAGTTAGCCTGCCTCAGGAAGAGCTCCCCAAGCACTAGCAGTGTTTGAATGGATCAGACAGCAATTAATGAAGGTATTATAGAGGAGAGTTCAATCATCAAATGGTTGATTATCCTGGATGACCTTTTAAGAGTCTTTTTAGCTCTAAGAGTCCATGAATCTGGTAAAGATAAATTTAGTTTGAGCACTGATTCTTTTTACTACATTTTTATTGCCATAACCTAAATTAAAGCAGTATTATTATTTTTACAGATTTTTTTTAAATTTCAAGATAGCTGTTATTTGTGCTCTTTTTAAAGAGCCATTTGAGACTGACGAATCATGTGGAATCCTGACCTCCTTTAGGAGAAAGAAGAAATTATGTCACGTTATGATTACATTTACTCTAGTGAGACAAAATGCTGAAATGGAAAATAATATAAAACATTCTTCTTTTCCTTAAATCCCAAAATGTTAAGTCACTGTGTCTTAGTAAAAATACGCATGATTTTGCAATGCAGTAATCCTCAGCTTTATAAACATGTAATGTAGTAACTTGGTTTGAGAATTAACTAAAAACAGGTTAAATGACTGCTGTATTTTGTGTATGTATACTGTTACATGGAGTAGATGCCGGGAGAAATGGAAGTAATGTGACAGTGAAACTTGAAATAACAGTGTTTATACATTACTGATTTGGGTTGTCAGTGTGCTATTACTCTGTAGCTCAGATATTTTAAAGACTAGTTTTCTACAGTTTTATGATATCAGTCTTTATTCAAAAAGTACTTATTAAGTATCTTTGGACCAGAAGCTGGGGATAAAAAGATGAAGAAAACAAAATCTATGTGTTTGAGAAGTTTATAATTAATGGGGGAGATAGGAAGGTAAGTGGAATTTAAATATAAAGGTGCTGTAACAAAGGTGCATTCATGGGGCCTCCCTGGTGGCACAGGTGGTTTAGTGCAGCTCTATGAAGCTGTCCGCAGTCTCTGCAGTGCCAGTTCCATCCCCGCCAGCTGTAGAGATGCCCACATGGCGCCGCAGACCTCTCCTGTCTCGTTGCTGCTCCCCTCAGCAGTGTATTTCAGTAGATCTGCCTGTTCTGTTCCCAACTCTGTCTGGTGAATCCTCTCACCCTCCCACACATCAGGCCTGTCCCCTGGTTCTTGTATAAATAAATAAATCTTTAAAAACAAACAAAACCAAAGGTGGATTCATGGTATTGATAAGAGTACAAAATTGAATTTTGGAATTGTGGCAGGTGAAACTTGGGATCTAGTCTTGGAGGGTTTTGTTTGCCCTTCTAAGTACTTTCACCTTATTCTCTAAGCAATGGGCAATGATTGAAGTGTTCTGAATAGAAAATTACAGAAATTTATTCTGCATTTCAGAGTAATCATTCAGGGGATATTTTTTTTTACTTCTTTTTTTTATTAATAAATTTTATTTTTATATTCCCCATATAATTGCAACCCCCTTATTTTGACCCCAATCCCTCCCCTCCCGCCCTCTACCCCCCATAGAGTGTCTCTGGTTCATATTTTTTTGTTGATTTTGATTTTCACTTTCTTATAGTTATTCATTTTCCTGGTCCCTTATTTAAGTTTTCTAGGTTCCTGCTATGAGTGAGACCATCGGTATTTTTCTTTTTCTTTCTGGCTTATTTCGCTAAGCATGATCCCTTCTAGCTCCATCCATGTTGCTGCAAATTGCATGTGTTTATCTTTTTTGAATGCTGAGTAATATTCCATGGTATATATGGACCACATCTTCTTGATCCAGTCATCTATTTTTGGACATTTGGGTTGTTTCCAAAGCTTAGCTATTGTAAATAGTGCTGCTATAAATATAGGGGTGTAGGTGCTCTTTGGAATTGATGTTTCTGTGTCCTTTGGGTAAATACCTAGGAGTGGAATTGCTGGATCATATGGAAGCTCTATGTTTAGTAGGTCCAGAAATCTCCACACAGCTCTCCATAGTGGTTGGACCAGGTTGCACTCCCACCAACATTGCAGAAGAGTTCCTTTTTCTCCACACCCTCGCCAACATTTGTTGTTGCTAGTTTTTGTAATATGTGCCATTCTCACTGGTGTGAGATGGTATCTCATGGTAGTTTTGATTTGCATTTCACAGGGGATATTTTAAAAAACGCTTATTCTTTATAATTTATGAATTTGCCTTGTTTCACTAATTGTTGTTTCTTGAGGGACTATAAACATTTGTTTATGGTTTTATTCATTTCAACCATTATTGATTTATTTGTAAGAAAAATCAATTCAGTAAAAAATCCATCAGCAAAGTTCCAGTACAATAAAATAACTTGAGCCTGTTGTAAAGGAATTAATAGTTTAAAAATATTTGCTATTTACTATTTATATTTTAAAAATATTTAAAATAATCCATTAAATGCTTATAAAGAAATGGTTTCCTTATATTATTAATTAAAAGGCAGTAAATTATTGTTGTTATATATGAAGTAGATCTTATCTAGGAAAAAGTTGTTTACAATTAATACTATATTTTTTATTGTATATTTTTTATTGTATTGTATATACTTATTTAAGGAAAAAGAACACCTAAATTCAAAGTTTTAAGAGCTAGATTATAGGATTTGCTAATTATATTTACAAGAAGTAAACTTTATATTTGTGTTAATGAAATGATTTTTTTTGTTATTTAATAATTTTCTTTTAAATTTAGTTTTTGATGATGAAGAAGAAAGCAAATTGACCTATACAGAAATTCATCAGGAATACAAAGAACTAGTGAGTATATATTTTCCTCTAATTTTTAAAGGTAGTTAGAATAACACTAATTTTGGTTCTTATAAATGAAAAAGTAATTTTTTCTTTTAAAATTCTTTAATTTGGGGCTCCCTGGTGGTGCAAGGGGTTAAGACACAACATATGAAGCTATTCGCAGCCACTGCAGCACGAGTTCGATTTATTATGACCACTTTAAAGGATCTAATCTTTAAAATTTATTCTTGGTCTGCTGATACATCTGGAAAAGTATTAACTATTAATTTAGTCATGGCTGTTTTGTGATTTTTAAAAATACCTATGGGTAGAAGAGTTATAACACATTAATAACTGCTTCTAGGACCTCCCTGGTGGCACAGGGGTTCAAATCTCAGCACTATCAAGCTGTTGCCAGCCACTGCAGCATGAGTTCCATCCCCAGCCAAGGATCTAACCCACATGGCACAGAAGACCTCTCTTGTCTCACTTGCTGCTTCCGCTCCCCTCAGCAGTGTATTTCAGAATATACTCCTGTTTGGTTCTCCATTCTGTCTCTGGTGAATCCTGTCACATCCCCCTCTCCCCTGCACCTCTGGCCTACACCCCAGTTCTTGTATGCATACATAAATAAAAAAAAAATCTTTAAAAAATAAATAACTGGGGTCTCCCTGGTGGCGCAAGGGGTTAAGCACCACACTATGAAGCAATCCACAGCCTCTGCAGCACGAGTTCAATCCCCGGCCAGGGAGAAACCCACATGGCGAGGCAGACCTCTCCTGTCTTGCCCTCTGCTCCCCTCAGCAGTGTATTTCAGTCAGTCTGCCTGTTCTGTTCCCCACTCTGTCTCTGGTGGATCCTCTTACCCCCCACATCTCTGGCCTGTACCCCAGTTCTTGTATGCATAAATAAATAAATCTTTAAAAAAAAAAAAATAAATAAATAACTGACTTTTAGAAACGGGAATAAAATTTCACTGATTCTCTGTAAAAATTTCAATTTTATATATTTTTTTTCAGTGAAAAGCAATATCACTGCTATGTAATATAATTTTATGTAGGTTAATGATTACAAACAAGTATTGTAATTATACTTTTCTAAGTTTAATACTAAATATAAAAATTGTCATTTAGAGTTTTCTGTGTAAATTATAAAAGTTAAACTTTCTCTTTTTAGGTTGAAAAGCTGTTAGAAAGTTACCTCAAAGAAATTGGAATTAATGAAGATCAATTTCAAGAAGCATGTACTTCTCCTCTTGCAAAGTCCCGTACTTCACAGGTTTTTTGCTTTTGTGTTATTCTGCTAACATGTAGTTTTAACAAAAATGTCCAGGTTTTCATTTAAATTTGCTATGTTTGATTATCAGCATGTAATATAGTAGACATTGTAAGAGTGAGGAGATAATTTATCACATATGGGTTCCATTTTAGAGCCACCTTGGGGATGGTCATTTGAGGCACTGATGAACTGGTTCAGTTAAAAAGGAACATTGCAAACTCAGAACTGAAATAGATCATATGGTTTAACCAAACTACAGTTTTATTTATATGGCTGTCCGACAATTTCATAATTACTTCTTTTTTTGTTTATTTAAAGATTTATTTATTTTATTTATACAAGCACTGGGTACATTCAGAAGTGCGGGAGGGTACATTCAGAAGCAGAGACAGAGCAGGGAATAGAACAGGCAGAGCAACGAAACACACTGCTCAGGGGAGCAGCAGGCGTGGCAGGAGAGGTCTGCACGCCATGTGGGACCCTTGCAGGTGGCCAGGATCGAACTGGCGCCGCGGAGGCTGCAGGCAACTTCGCAGCCCAGCGCTCAACAGCTGCTCCACCAGGGGAGACCCTAATTACCTCTTTTTTAATACTAGCAGGTATACAGTCCACAGTTCCTGGGTCATCCTTCTCTTGGTGCTACTTTTATTTTCTTATTACTTCTGAAATGCTGGATTGAAGTAGGTATTTTGTTTGTTTTTTTTTTTGTTTGTTTGTTTAGCTTATTTATTTATTTAGTGCAGCATGGTATGATTGGGTTTTCTGCTCTCTGGGCTCTTACAGGACTGAGATCAGGGTTAACTTGGTTTATCTGGAGGACCTGGGGAAGAATTCACTCCCAGAATCATTCACATTTTTGACAGAATCCTATTTCTTCTGGCTCTGTGTCTGGGCTTCAATTTCATTGCTGTCAGCCTCAACCACTGTCTTTTCTTAGAGGCCACCTGCATTCTTTGTCAAATACCCTTCACTCCCATCCGTGTTCTAAGCAGTATCATGTTCATGTTGAGACCATCTCATGTTCAAAAACTGACTTCGCCTTTTGCTACCAGCTGGAGAAATTTCTCTGCTTTTAAGTAACTCAGTTGATTAGATTCCAGGGGAAATATCTGTGGGTCAGTTCCCTTGAATTAGGTGATGAGCTGGTGAACCGTAGTTGATTTCTGGCTGTGCTTAAGGAAGAGGCTTATCAAAACCTCCTTATTCAGCCATGCTGTGAAAGAAGTCACTATGTTTATAATATTTACTGAGGGCTCTTAATAAAACAGTACTGTTTACTTCTATTTAGAAATGACAAATCTAAAGCAAGGATATATTCATCAACTAATGCAATTTTCCCAGTTAAATATTAAAAAGTCAAAATTCCAGCCTACGGTATTCCATCTGAGAGCCCTTGCTCAGAGCTTCCATCTTCTACCAAGTAAAAATAAATTCCTTAGCAAGATGATGGTGAGGATTGTGTGTATGACTCCAAATTCTTTTTTTCAGTTGCCTTCTGCCGTAATTCTCCAGTATAGTGTATACTACAGTTACTGCAGGCTACTTTCTCTTGTTGGCGTCCATGCACCTGACTTTGCTCTAGCTACTTACTTAATGTTCCGCCTACCTACCATCTTCCCAGCCCTCCAGTCTTTCCTCACCCAGAGAAATACTTCTCATCATAAGGCTCCAGCTTTCCTGATCTCTATATTCAGACTAGCACTTAATTTATGTCACTGGGTACTTTTACATTTTTGGTACTCTGCCTTGAATTACAGTTTTTAGAAATTTGTGCTTTACTAGATTTTACGTCCTTTGAGATATTTGTATTCCAAGAACTTAGTCCATAGTAGGTAGTTCTCAGTAATTCTTTTTATTATTATTTTATATATTTTTACATCAATTTTCATTTTTGTACAATGTATACATTTTCATCTCAGTTATAGTCCCTGTGAAATTACCACCACCATTTCACTTGAGTACCATCACCATAGTACCTTGTGCTCTTCCCACCCGTGTTGTTTTTTTTTTAAGTCTATAGTCTAATTTGTCAAAATTTATACAAGGAGTGTGTCAACAATTTCAATCAACATAAAATTCAAATAGATAATAATCCATTAACTCAATTATTTTTTAAATTATTTATTTATTTATTTTAAACTATTTTTTTAAATTTTTTACATCATTGTTCATTTCTATTTTTATTTTTATTTTTTTTAAGATATATTTATTTACGCATGCAGGAGCTGGGGTACAGGCCAGAGATTTGGGGGGGGGTGAGAGGATTCACCAGAGACAAAGCGGGGAACAGAACAGGCAGACTGACTGAAATACACTGCTGCGGGGAGCTGTGGGACAGACAGGAGAAACACACATGGCTGCGCCATGTGTGTTTCTCTCTGGCCGGCCGGGGATTGAACTCATGCTGCAGAGGCTGCGGATTGGCTCATAGTGCTGTGCTTAATCCCTTGCACCACCAGGGAGGCCCTTTGTTCATTTTTAAACAATAATTGCTTCCCCCCACCCCCTCAGGTGTAGTCCCCATAGAGTTTCCTCCACCAAATGCACCCATGTACCATCATCTCAGTACCCTGTGCTCCTCCCTCCCTCTAATCCTTCTCCCTCCTCCTCCCTTGCAGTATGTCTGTTTTTGCTTTGTTGTGTTTTGTACTGTTGTTATTTTTTTACACTGATGTCTTATTTGGTTCCCTATATTTCTGCTTAAGTGAGACCATCCTATGTTTTTCTTTTTCCTTCTGGCTTATTTCACTGAGTATAATTCCTTCTAGCTCCATCCACGTTGCTGTGAATGGCATGAGTTTATCTTTTATGATTGCTGAATAATATTCCATTGTGTATATATACCACATCTTGATCCAGTCATCTGTTTTTGGGCATTTGGGTTGTTTCCAGGTTTTACCTATTGTAAATAGTGCTGCAATAAACACAGGGGTACAGGTGTTCTTTTGGATCAATGTTTTTGTGTCCTTTGGGTAGATCCCTAGTAGTGGAATTGCTGGGTCATATGGTAGCTCCATTTTCAGTAGACCGAGAAACCTCCAGACAGCTTTCCATAGTGGTTGGACCAGTTTGCACTCCCACCAGCAATGTAGGAGAGTTCCTTTTTCACCGCACCCTCGCCAGCATTTGTTGTTGCTAGTTTTTTTTGATATGTGCCATTTTTACTGGGGTTAGGTAGTATCTCAATGTGGTTTTGATTTGCATTTCTGTGATTATAAGGGATGTCGAACATTTTTTCATATGCCTATTGGCCATTTGAATTTCCTCTTTGGAGAAATGTCTTTCAAGTTCTTCTGTCCATTTTTTTTTTTAATTTTTTTTTAAAAAGATTGATTTATTTATACAAGAACTGAGGTACAGCCCAGAGGTGTGGGAGGTTGAGAGAATTCACCAGAGACAGAGCAGTGGGGGAGCAGAACAGGTTCTACCCATTTCTTGACGGGATTATTTATTTTGTTTTTGTTGAGTCGAGTGAGTTCTTTGTATATCTTTGTGATCAGTCCCTTATCAGTTGACTGGAGTGCAAAGATTTTTTTCCTAGTCAGTGGGGTGTCTCTCTGTTTTGGTTAATGTCTCTTTTGCTGTATAGAAGCTTTTCAGTTTGATGTAATCCCACGTGTTTATGTTTTCCTTGACTTTCTTTGCTTTGGGTGATGAGTCTTCAAAGATGTTATTGCGATGTATGTCTTATAGTGTTTTACCTATATTTTCTTCTATATATTTTATGGTTTCAGGTCTTATGTCCAGTTCTTTTATCCATTTTGAGTTGATTTTTTTGCATGGTGAGAGGTATTGGTCTAGTTTCATTTTTTTTGCATGTCCAGTTTTCCCAGCACCATTTATTGAACAAACTGTCCGTGTCTCATTGCATATTCTTTGCTACTTTGTTAAACCCATGCTGTGGAGGCTGCAGAGGCTTCACAGAGCTGTGCTCAACCCACCGCGCCACTGGGGAGGCCCCATATGAATTTCATCAGTATTTGTTCTATTTCTTTGAAGAATGTCATTGAGATTTTTATTGTAATAGCATTGAATTGCTTTTGGTAGAATGGCCATTTTATTTTTATTTATTTATTTATTTATTTATTTATTTATTAATAATTTTTTTTTAGATTTATTTATTTATTTATACAAGCACTGGGTACAATCAGAAGTGCGGGAGGGTGAGAGAATTCACCAGAGCCAGAGCAGGGAGCAGAGCAGGCAGAAGGACCGAAGTACACTGCTGAGGGGAGCAGCGGGCAGCAGGAGAGGTCTGCGCACCATGTGGGACCCTCCTCCGGTGGCTAGGGAGCAGCCGGGGATCGAACCGGCGCTGCAGGGGCTGCGGGCAGCTTTGCAACCCAGCTCTCAACCGCTGCACCACCAGGGAGGCCCTAGAATGGCCATTTTAATTGCTTTTAGTAGGATGGCCATTTTAATAATGTTAATATTTCCAATCCATGAGCAGGGGATGTCTTTCCATTTCTTTGTGTCTTCTATTTCTTTTAACTGTTTTACAGTTTTCTTTGTATAGGCCTTTCTCTTTTGTTATGTTTATTCCCAAGTATTTGATTTTTTTTGGTTTCAATCATATACATATAATCAAATACTTGATTTTTTTTGGTTTCAATTATAAAAGGGATGGTTTTCTTGAATTCTTCTTCTTCAGATTGATTGTGTATAGGAAGGCTACTGACTTGTGTGTGTTGATTTTGTATCCTGCTACTTTATTAAACTGGTTGATTGTTTCGAGTAGTTTTTCTGTGGGGTTTTTAGGGTTCTCTATGTATATTATCATATCATCTGCAAATAGTGATAGTTTTACTTCTTCTTTCCCTATTTGGATTCCTTGTATGTCTTTCTTTTGTCTTATTGCCCTGGCTAGGACCTCCAGTGTTATATTGAAGAGCAGTGGTGAGAGAGGACATCCTTGTCTTGTTCCTGATCTTAAAGGAAAGGCCTTCAGCTTTTCGCCTTTGAGAATAATGTTGGCAGTGGGTTTGTCATGTATGGTTTTT